GTGTTTGAGAGCTGCAGCTGTAGCGAGAAACAGAAGACTGTCTTCGCAGTAAGACAACTGAAAACAGGAGTCTTGAGCTAGTGGAAGCTACTGGCAGATACGATGCCACGAGGAGAAGCCCTAAGGATGTCATCAGAAGAGTTTTTGGAACAGTTGAAAATGCAGTATTGCTCAGAGATAGATCTGATAGACCTGAACAATGAGTTTCAAAACCTGAAGAAAGGGAAGATGAGTGTTGATGAGTATGCCACCGCATTCACCGAGAGGATGAAGCTATTTCCCTACTTGGTTCCTACTGAACTCTCCAAGATTGATAGATTTGCTAACGGATTGCCCACTGACTTTGGCCTAATGGTCAAAATGGCAACTACCTTGAAAACAGTTGTTCGGGTAGCTAAGAACGTAGAGACCTAGATAAGAGAAAAGGGTCTAGAAAAAGATAAGGTAGGAGAGAAGCGGAAGTTTGAAGGATCTTCAAGGTCCAACAAGGAGAGCAAATTCTTAAAGCTTGGAGGAGGAGAAAGAGGTGAAGCAAGATGGTGTGATAAATGTAAAAAGAAGCATTGTGGGAAGTGCAACGAAGAAGTAACTTGTTACAAGTGTGGAAGGACTGGTCACTATTCCAAGGACTGCACACATAATGATAAGGTATGCTACGGATGTGGAGGCAAGGGGCACCTATCAAGAAATTGCCCAAAGAAAAACGAAGCAGCAAAGCCAAACACACCACCAAGGCCAAGGGCATTCCACATGATCCTTGACGAGGCAGAAAACCATGCAAGGAACCAAGGATGAGGAATCCATACCCGAAGACCGAGTTATGAGGTAGCCTAAGAGATAGAACAATATGATGTAGCCTATTAGAGGTATAGTCTAGGGTGAACTTGAACACTTATGTAATAGTTTCAAGAAATAATGAAGCCTTCGTTTTGCTATATGATGTGTTAAACTGTTATGTGATTTTCTTGTATGGTGACTTGGAAAACTGTGAGACAATACTTGGGACGAGTATGAGTAGGTGTGAAAGGTAGTAGATGCATATACTACCAGAAGCACATGACTCACGCTTGGATTATGTAAAGTCACAAGGTTACCAAGAAGTTAGTAATTAATACCGTTTTATTCAAGTATGTCGTAACCATCGTTTCGGTAATGACTAAAAAGATTATTAATATTCCGACCCTAGTGGTCATATAGAATTGAGTCCAACTATGCTGAGTATGCTATGTGGTTTAGAAAATCAAGTTCGATGTAGCATCTGACTTAAGACAGAAGATTGGAATAAAAAGAGATCAGTAGAGGTATCACGAAAAGTTGCTTGTAGCTAGAAATGTTACCTTTTAAAATGTGATTATATCACATTAGAACATGAAGGAAAGTATAATCTGTTTTGGAATATAACTATAAGAGACCTGAGTCTAAACGTGCATCACATGATGGAAGGTCATAATTTGGAGTCTAACCTGAGATAGAAAGCAAATGCACGATCGAGTACTGCTTACAGTCAATAAGTCTAAGAGATATACTTGAAGGAATATATAAGTTATAATTATTACCAAGGATGAAGAGATGATGTATGGAGTCATTATACGAGCCCTGTTTCATTGATGATTCCGGGACGTATTCATCCTAAGGGGGAGATAATTGTAACGCCTGTAGATCCGGGCTAGTCAATTTAGAGGCAATAAGTGTCGAAAATGACTTTTTGGCAAAATATTATTTAGAATAAATAATATTAACCAAGTTGTAGTATATGTTACAAGGTTTCCGTACATATAAAGACCGCTGAAATCCGAGTTATAACGAAGAAGTTATGACCCGTCGAAGTTTCGCGACGGAACCGGCACGATACCGGGAAATGTAAATAGTGAATTTACGATAGAGCGAGATTTAGCCTTAACAATCTAAATGAAAGTCGTAGAATACTTTAAACCAAAAGCGTCCATAAAAAGAATGCATAAAGAGCCGCATAAGGTTGTTGGATTTCAGAAGTGCTATACGCCAAAATGGTTCTGCCCTCCAATGTTTTATATCTGGCCCCTGTCTGTACATAGTGGTCGAAAGTATTGTTTAAACGCTTATATAATAATAATAATAAGACTAATAATTAGTCACGGTAAATACTAGACTAAAATCTAGTGGTAATAATACTAGGTTTCATCGAATGAAATTATTTTAAAGTAAACGAAGCGTTGTCCGAGTACCGAGTGTGTTTGTCTTCCCGTACGCAACATACAACTCTTTATTGTAATGCCCTCTCCAAGTGTGTTTGTCTCCCTTTTTTAACTTACTATGGCAGACATTTGTGAAATAATTCTGATAAGAAGAAAAAAAAAAGGCATTAAGAAACCCTCTTAGCATAACCCTAGACATTCTAAGATCCTTTTTAAAAGGCGTGACGAAGAAAAATATTTGTGAAATATTTCTCATAAGAAGAAGAAAAAGGCATTAAGAAACTCACTTGGCATAACCCTAGACATTCTTAGATCCTTTTTAAAACCTGCTCTAATTTTCGCTATATAGAAAAGAAGTAAAGAACATAATACCCATTACAACACCACATAATACCCATTACAACACCTGGTGGAAGACACAAAAAGAAAAATCAAGGGTTACACAAACTTTTTAGGAGTTACACTACTAGAATTATTAAAAAAAAACAAAAAACAAAAAAAAAAAAAAAAAAAAAAAAAAACCCTCATTCCCTAAGGTAGTTTTTGTCACTAAAAGGTTTTTACCGACAAATTTATGTTTATCAGATTTTTTGATGGATTTCCAATACATTTGTGAAAGATTTATAGAATTTTACACTATTAAGACAAAATCGAAGGGTTGCACATGCAACTTTGAGACACCTGCTATGGACACCTCCGCCCCTTAGGTTTTTGTGTTTGTCTCCCTTTCTTAACTTATTATAACATGTATTTGTAAAATAATCCTGATAAGAAGAAATAGAAGAGATTTGTGAAACATTTACTAGGATGAAATCGAAGGATTGCACGTGCTACCTCGGGACACTTGCTATGTCCGACTCTGGCCTAGAATACCAAAAATAATTTGTAAATGATTTAAAAGAAAAAAAATGTTAATTGACATTTGTTTTTATTAAATCAAATACTCCTTCTGCCCCATATTAATAGTCCATGTTTCATTTTTGGTTTGTCCCAAAGTAATAACCTACTTCTAAAAGTAAATATCATTTTACTAAACTACACTTTATTATTAATTAACCTACCATGAAATTAAATGCAACAAAAAGGTAAAACTATCATTTCATTTAATAAAGTTAATAGTAATTAATATTTTATTAATCTATTTGTGTGTTTTTGTGTGTAAAGTGTAGACAATAATTTTTAGGACAGATGAAGTAACACGTTTGCCTACAAGTTACTTTGTATTAAGATTTCATATTTTTAGAAATAGTAGAACATAAAAACCAAAACATTAAGTTTTAGTCAAACAAGACAAATGTCTCCTTCAATAGTAAAGCAATGTTTCTATTTGTGTGCTAACATACTTTTATTTACATAAGGTTGTTTGGTATGCCTCTTCCTTGATTTGGTCACTCTTAGATTCAAACTATTTGATACCAATTTTAGAAAATAGTCAAATTCAAACCATTTGATACCATAACTAGAATTCAAACTATTTGATACCATAATTAGAAAAAAAAAATCAGATTCAAACCATTTGATACCATAATTAAAAAAAAAAAATCAGATTCAAACCATTTGATACCATAATTAGAAGCTTTTGGTTCGGTCCTAAACATAACCCATGCTGCCTCACTCAAATCAATGCTTAATCAACAACTATCAACCACAAAACCTTCCCACAAAGGCATCTTCATATTCTGTTGGAATACTTGATAAATCATATCAACAAAATAAATTCAATATGAAATGTTGGAATACTTGGAATATAAGTATACTTACAAAACTTAAAAACTCATTTAAAGTGCAAGTTTAAATCTTGAGTTTATAATTTATGCATTGACTAACTGCATAATACAAGTTCATACAAAACAACTTCCAGAAAAACACCAGATCTCAGGCTAACATCATGTATTGTAATCAAAGTTCAGTTTCAATTTCGACTATTTATCCACCATAAATAACAAGAAACCACCAACCTATTTCTAGAAAAACTGAAGTTTTCAAACATAGAAAATGATCAAAACATTTGTGAACGTTTCTTCCCAAAGATTGCCTCCCAAACCAAAGGCGAAAATGGACCTTTTTTCTCCATGAAATCTGTAACACCTTTCTCATCAAATCCAAATCCTTTCTCTTTCAAACTCTTGATCATCATTTCAGCAGCTTCCAAACCTCTTTCCCTACAAAACCCATTCACCAAACCTGTGAAAGTAGCCAGATTTGGTGAATGATCAGCTTCCACCATCTCCAAACAATATTCAAGAGCTTCATCTAACCTATTCCCTTTAACCAAACCCTGAACAAGAACACCATAACTAAATGCATTGGGTACAATACCATTGTTCTGCATTTTCCTGAAGATCCTGATAGCTTCATCTGGCTTCTGAGATTTGCAAAACCCTTCAACTACTGCTGTGTATATCACCACCTCAGGGATGGATCCTCTTTCACGCATTACACCAAACAGCTTCATTGCTTCTTGAACCAATCCATCGCTACACAAACCATGGAGCATCGCTACTGCATTTGGGATCAGCCCCGTTTCTTTCATTTTCCTAAATAGCTCATCAGCGTCTTCTGGTGGTGGTGGTGGCGGTGGTTGAGGCTCCTCGGCCACTACTTCTCCCCTCTCCGGCACTATTGCTGGTATCTGATTTGTCAGAAATGGGACTACCTTTTTCTTCATCGAATCCAAGCTTGAATCTATCGAGGAATCCATCAACGTCCTGAATCTTAGTATCCTTAACTCGTGGGCTAGGAGAAAATTGGGGCTTCTGTTCGTCATCATCATCAAATGGGACATAAGAGCTGTTTGTTTCAGATTTCCGACTATCGGTTCTGTTTACTTCGGATGATGCTCTGTTACTCGGTCTATACCTACTATCATCATCATCGTACTTAGGTCTTCTATTGCTGTCGAAATCCCTTCTTCCTCCTGCGTGTCTTCGATCCCTATTATCGCCGGCGTCGCGGTCATCGTTACCGTGGTTGAATCCAGAAAGCCGTGACGAAGGAGTTCGATCTGATGTGCTGAATCCATCGCCGGAGCGTCGTCTTGGTGGTGGTGATCGACCACCACTGTAACCATCGTTAGACCTGTTATTGTATGACGACGAGGAGAAAATTCTAGTTAACAATGGCGAATCAACACGACGACGAGTTCGAAAATGAGATCGGTGATGATGAGAATAATCCGAGATGCTGAAAGAAATTAATTTTGAAATCTTAAACCCTTTCTTTATCGTCTCCATTTTGCAGCTCGCATAAACCCTAACCCCTTCTCAAGTGAGCCTGACGAAAGACGACGTGGTAGTCCCTCGCTAGAAAAAAAAAAAAAAAAAGGATTTTCGAATATTTGATAAAAACAAAAACAAAATTTAATACATGAATGCTCCCTCTGATTTGGAATAATATGCATCTTGGATACAACTTTTTACTTTGTTATACCATCTGTCCCTATGTTATCTGTTAATTATAACACTCATCCCTCTGCCGTTAAATCTTACTATAGAGACATTAAGTGTTTCTATAATTATTATTTTACCAATTTTTTTTTTCATTTTTTTGTTTTTATAAATATTTTCTTATATTACAAGGACTATTAATGTAATTTTCCGTAATTGTTATCATCTCTCTAATATACACACATATCTTATGGACACACATGAAAAAACATATAAATGAATATTTTTCGGAACACCCCACACATGATTTAATGATAATTACAAATGAATTGCTAAAAAAAGAAAAAATTAATGTTAGAATTTTTTTGTTTTATATTCTAATTCATGAATTCAACTAAAACAGTTCAATACATATCGATTGAAGGCAAACGGATAATACGTATCTTCAGAACAGATGGAATCGGAAAGTAATAAGTTTCAAACTTTCTATTACATATCCGTTCGAACCAATATTTGGGTGTTTTTGCTTGAGCTGTACGAGATGAAAGTCTTATATACAGTTCTCGGAGGGGGGGGGGGGGGGGGGATCAGGCCTATCTCAATAAAGTCTATGATTGGTTTGAAGAACGTCTTGAGATTCAGGTGATTGCAGATGATATAACTAGTAAATATGTTCTTCCTCATGTAAACATATTTAATTGTCCAGGGGGAATTACACTTACTTGTTTTTTAGTCCAAGTGGCGCGCTACAGGATTTGCTATGACCTTTTACTATCGTCCGACCATTACTGATGCTTTTACTTCTGTTCAATACATAATGATTGAAGCTAAAATAGGGTTTTGCAATCACAAAGTCCGGCTAACATTTATCTTCCCATTACGAAACATAAACCAATTATAGGAATAATCAATCAACCTATCGATTAATAAATTCCGAGTAACTGTATGATCAATAAGAAATATATCATTCTGAAAGTTTCAAATGATCCACCACATCGTTGTTATTATAGCTTCTAAATCCATACATTTCATTAAAGAAACTAGAATTGAGTCAATCCATTGCATCACTTCTTCCAACATAGAAAATCTAGGAACACTAATGTCACACTATCTACCTAGAAAGCAGAATTGGGTTTTGTTTTTGGGCTTGTGTTCGGCCGATAACTTTTTTCAAACTCGTTTAAAGTTTTGCTACATATTTAAGTAATGATGTGGTAATATGGATGGTTATTGATAAGTTTAATGAAAGTTGAATTTTTCCGCAAATTTGTGAGTCCCAAATTCATATTATTTGTTGAATCAACTAGGTCTTGGAAGAGATTGACTTGAGTTTCAGTATGACCTAATATGTGTTCATGAGTTCTATGATATATCATATACATTCAAGTTTGGAATGATCAATTTAACTAATTTAGGTCAAACTAGTCATTTTTTTCAAACACAAAAACTTGATAATTTTTCTAAAAACATTGTTCATAATAGTTTGTTTAGTTATCCACAAAATTTATAACTATTCAAAATCTTTCTTTATTACTAATATATTAAGTTACTATAAACATATTAACCGAAAAACTTTTATCAATGTAATCAACTTGTTTCAATAATAAAAGAGTTTTTATAAATAAAATTAATATAATACTTTCTTATAACATACATATAGTAAGAGCATCTATAATGGTAAACATATATCATATGTTAAAAATATTGTCACCTTACTATTTTATTTTTATTAACCTCTAATTAAATTGTTGTTTAGATGGTTAAACTTTTTAATGATTTTTTTTTTAATTTAACTATTTATCCTTATCTATCTAAATTGTTATATAAAACCTTTTCATTTAACTAATCGTTTTTTAAACACATCATATTTGAATATAAACATTGATTCACACAAACAATTTACATATTACTATAATTTATATTTATATATTATATATTTGTTTATCTATAAATTTTAGATATATAATAAGTAAATAAAATAATCAAATGGATAAAATGAAATATTATTAAAAAGAAAAAGATAATTGTTCCAATCATTAAACTATATTGACCACTAAGTGGTCAATATGCCCTCCAATGATATTTTATTATTTAAACCACTTAACCAAATAATAATAATATATAAAAAACCTACCATGGAAGTTCTAAGCTATGTTATTACGAAACTTATCTTTTGTATTAGTTTTACGTTTATTATCTAGTTTTTAAAACTCACGACTTCTTAAAAATGAAATTAAAATTCATCAAGTTTTACGATCACATAAAGTTAAACTCATATTTTATAAAAAAAAAAAGACAAAAAAAATCTAATTATCTTTATTAAAAAAGTCAATATATAATTAAATAAATATATTATTTTCATGTTTTGTTGCCATGAATTCCATGTTTCTTACGGCAACGACTTTTTAATACCTGTCCATTTAGATAGAAGATTCAAGACTGATCATTCTACGTGAACATGAAAAAACTGAAACAAAATTTCTAAAATACGAATTCCAAATCACCAATTATCAAACCCTCAATCTCCAAAACTTGGCCATGGCTTCCGAACCCACCTCTGAACTTCACTTCCTCTTTATTCCATTCCTAGCCCCTGGCCACACCATCCCCATGATTGACATGGCCAAATTACTCGCACAGCAACCAAACATTACTGTCACAGTCGTCACCACACCCCTCAACGCCGTTCGATACAGTCCCATCCTCAACAATCCCGGTGGCTTTCCTTCAACTTCCGTTTCCAGCCATGGAGGTCGGATTACCAGATGGATGCGAAAGTCTAGACGCACAACAAGCATACAGTTGGAGTACAACAGGCTTAACATAGTATTTGACAAAAGCAAAACACAAACAGAATAAAACACGAACTCGTAAACAAAGACTATAGTCCAACAAACTTATCAAAACACGAGTTATATAAAAATATTTTTTTTATTTAACATCATAGCCGGCTTTTGTCTTTCTGATAAATATATTATATTCTTTAATTTAATCATCCGCCTTTGGATTTATCCCGATTAGACAAAACTTGTAGCAACCTCCACCTTCCTCTACAAAGTTATGTTTTTTATTTTTTATTGTGTAAGCAAATAATCGCTTATGTATATGCTTACATCATCACGGATTTATCTAATAAATTAAAGAGGGGAAGGGGAAGGAGAAGAGAATGAAACCCTTTATTTAGAATGCAAATGCAATTACATTATCGCACATAGATTCAATCCCTCAAAAATGGCTTTAGAAGAATCACAAGAACATAACCAGCTTCACTTTCTTGTTATACCCATGGCATCCCCAGGCCATTATATTCCCACCATTGACATAGCCAAGTTACTATCTCAACATGGTGTCCAAGTCACCTTCATCACCACCCCTGTAAACGCCCTAAGATTCGGATCCATTCTTGATCAATCAATCAAATCAGGTCTCCCCATTAATTTTCTTGAATTCCCATTTCCATCTATGGAATTTGGATTACCAGAAGGTTGTGAGAGCTTAGATACTCTCCCTAGTTTCAACTTGATCGGATCACTTATGCAAGCATTTAATACACTACAAGAAAGAGTCGAACAATATATAGAAAACCTGAATCCTAAACCGAGTTGCATAGTATCCGACTCGTTTCTCCTATGGCCAGCTGAAACAGCAAAAAGGTTTCAGATTCCAAGGATTATATTCGATGGAATGAATTGCTTCACACAGATGTGTAACCATGTTTTGTACCTCACTAAGGTATATGAAACTGTGGGTGAGTTGGAATCATTTGTTTTACCTGGTTTGCCTGATCGTATTGAACTAACAAGATCCCAACTGCCTATCGTATTCAATTCAGGCTCAAAAAATTTAGATAGTTTTCATGAAAAGCTTCGGATATCTGAATCCGAAGCATATGGAGTAATCATAAACAGTTTTCAGGAGTTAGAACAAGGATACGCGGATGAATATCAGAAACTCAAAGGAGGTAAAGTTTGGTGCATAGGGCCATTATCGTTATGTTACAAAGATGTATCAGAGAAAGCCCAAAGAGGTAACAAGTCGTCGATTAACAAAAACGAATGCCTCGAGTGGCTAGATTCTCAAGAAAATGGTTCGGTGATCTATGCATGTTTAGGAAGTGTTAGTCGTGTTGAACCTACACAACTAATTGAGCTTGCTTTAGCTCTAGAAGCAACTAGAAGGCCATTTATTTGGGTAGTTCGCGCAGGTCATAAGACGCAAAAGATTGAAGAATGGATAGATGAAGAGGGGTTTGAAGAGAGAACAAAAGAGAGAGGTTTATTGATCCGTGGGTGGGCTCCACAAGTGTTGGTTTTGTCCCACTCTGCGGTTGGAGGGTTTTTGACACACTGTGGGTGGAATTCGACTCTAGAAGGAGTGTGTGCTGGTGTTCCCATGGTGACATGGCCTCAGTTTCAAGAGCAATTCTTGAATGAGAAGTTGGTTGTACAAGTGTTAAGGATTGGAGTTAGTGTTGGTGCTCGAGATGTTGTCCATTTGGGTGATGAAGAGAAGTCGGGAGTGGGAGTAAAGAGGGAGGAGCTGAGGAAGGCTATAGAGATGGTGATGGAAGAAGGGAAAGAAGGAGAAGAGAGAAGAAAGAGAGCTAAAGAACTAAGTGAGATGGCATATAAAGCAATAGAAGAGGGAGGATCTTCTCACCAGAATATAACACGATTAATCGAAGATATCATGCAACAAGCCACTAGTAGGAAATTATAAGATTATGTTCAATTTCTTCAAGTTCCATGTGTTGAAAATAGTGGAAGAATATTTCAATCTTATATTTATTTGTTTTTTCTTAAAGGGGTTATTATGTTAAAAGTATTTGTAGCAGGGTTTAGAATGTAAATGCAGGGAAGGATACGCGGATCTTTTGTTATAGTCGGGTTGATCCATATACTTGACACAGAGATATAAAAGAAGAGAGAGAGAAGATATGTGGCAGATGAGAGTCTTCAGCTTGAGAGATAGATCTAGGGTTTTCTCTTCGTGTTTTCTACTTCTCTCTGATTTTGTGTTGTTATGATGATAGATTAACAATCAGATGTTTCTATTCGTATAATCTGTTTTAGATTAGGATTGAGTGTAGTTGAATGAGAGTAGATTAGGGTTTTGTAGTGAGGTTTCAGTTGTAAGTACATGAAAACCTTTTGTTTCTTTGTCCTAAATTGATATAAGAAATGAAGATGTTGGGAAAAATATTTTGTGTAATTTCAACATGGTATCAGAGCTCTAAGGCTCATGTTCTTTGATCCAGACGGCTTGGTTGGCTAATCGTCGTTTGGTGATCTTCGTTCTCAACGATTTAAAAAAAAGGTATACCGATTCCTTTATTTTTTGGTTTTGTTTTCTGTTAAATCTGTTAGATCTAGGGTTCTTTCTCTATTTACCTTAGTTTGCTTTTTGGATCCTGGTACTGCGAGATTTTTTGGATTTGTCTTGCAGATTGGTGCTTCCTCTCTTCTTCTTGTCGTTGTGACTACAAGTTTGAACAAAAAGAAATACGCTCTGAAAGCTATCGATTAATCCCTTATCTGAAGTAATCCTCTTGGGGTCGGATTTCATCACCGATAAACCCTTGTAGGGAACGGATTTAGGGAGTCGATTTGAGAAGAAAAAACAAAAAAAAACAACATCGCCTTCTATAGCACTGTGAGGGTGTTCTTGTTCTTTTATTTTCTTCTTTGTTTTCGCGTATACTGTGTTTGTTTCTTGGCTGTTTCTTTGACTCTGTGGTTGACTGTCTTGGGCCCCGACATACTGTGGTGACCATCTGGACTTAAGTCAACACAGGGTTTATTACCTGTTCTGTGTGTTGTGTATTCTCTATCTTTTCTGTGTGTTCCTTGTGATTTAGAATGGCAGGAGATACTCCTGAAGGCAGTGGTACTCCTAAAGATGGTACTACTGCCGATTTTGATGATCCTTTATATGTTCATCCTTCTGATTATGCTGTAGCCTCAATCATAACCATTAAACTGACTGGAAATGAAAATTATCGGTTATGGCGTAGTGCCATGTCTAGAGGTCTGAAGGCTAGGAATAAGTTGGGTTTTGTGGATGGAACTTTAACTCTTGAAAACACTGATGTCTCTAAAACCTCTAAATGGGAACGTGTTAATGCTGTTGTATGCAATTGGATTTTAGGGTCTATTTCTGAATCCATTTATGCTAGTCATGTTTACTCTGATAAAGCTAAGGATATTTGGGATGAATTGTTTGAAACTTATAATAAGGCTGATGGATCTGTAGTTTTCAATATCCATCAACAAATTAATACTTTAAAACAGAATGGTTCGTCTCTTTCTGATTATTATAATAAACTTGATTCTTTATGGAAGGAATTTGATGGTTTGACTAGCTTAACTGAATGTGTATGTGAGGCTGCTACTAAGCTTAATGATCATTCTAAATTGATGAAACTAATGCAGTTTCTGAGTGGTCTTGATGAGTCATATAATCAAGTAAAAAGTCATATTCTTTTGATGGATCCTTTACCAAATGTTAAATCTGCTTTTTCCATTCTTTCTAGAGAAGAATCTCTTCAAAGGAATGGGTCTTTAAATTCTATTGTTCCTTCGAAGTCTCAGGTGTCTGTGTTTAACAGTAAAGTCAATGATTTTAAGAAGGGACAAGGTCTAAACAGGATCAGAAATCAAGGATTGCAATGTAAACATTGTAATCTTAAAGGCCATACAATAGATAGGTGCTATAAACTGATTGGTTTTCCAAAGGATTTTAAACAGAAAAATGAAAGTAATAATCAAAGTAAATCTTTTTCTGTAAATTCATCTTCTGTCAGTTCAAATAACAATATTGTAGGTTCTTCTGATCCTGTTAACAAGAGTGATGCTCACTATCTTACAAGTGAACAATACTCCAAATTTCTTCGTCTTATTAGTGACAGTTCTATCAATGAGGATGTATCTGCTGCTGCTAATATGGCAGGTACATGTTCGTTTACTTGTTGTAATTCTGTTGTCAGTGAAAATAACTCTCAGAGTTGGATTGTTGACTCAGGGGCAAATCAACATATGATAGCCTCTGAGTCACAACTTCGAGACACAGTGGATGTGTCTAAGCTCAATCTTCTTGTTAAACATCCTAATGGGTCTTCTGCTCCTATTAACAAAATAGGGAACATTCAATTATCTTCTCATCTTACTTTATTTGATGTGTTTGCTGTTCCAGACTTTAATGTTAATCTTTTGTCTGTACACAAGCTTTGTAAGGATAGTGGTTGTGAAGTTGTATTTTCTGAACATAATTGTAAAATTCAGGATTCACTGTCAAAGGAGATGGTGGAGAATGGTAGGGAATCAGGGGGTCTTTATTACCTTGATCATGTTCCCTTAGGTAATTTTGCTAGTTTAACTATTCCTAAGTGTTTTGTTTCAAAATTTACCTGGCACAGTAGACTTGGTCATCCTGCTGACCAGGCTTTAAGTGCTCTAAAAGATAAACTGAATTTTGGAAATGAATCCTTACCTCCTTGTGATACTTGTCATAAAGCAAAACAGACTAGAGAATCCTTTTCTCATAGTCAGCATCATTCATCTCAATTAGGTGAATTGATTCATCTAGATGTTTGGGGTCCCTATAGATTGGCTTCTGTTGAGGGTTATAAGTATTTTTTGACTATTGTGGATGATTTTTCTAGGGCAACTTGGGCTTTTCTTTTAAAATCTAAAAGTGAAGTTTTTGATTGTTTTAAAGTTTTTGTAAATATTCTATTAAATCAGTTTGGTGTTAACATTAAGACTATAAGGTCTGATAATGGAACAGAGTTTGTAAATAATCAAATGAAGTTTTATTGTATTGAACATGGAGTCATTCATCAGACCTCTTGTGCTTACACT